TTTCCAATTAGTTGTACACATTCTGGTCAGGTTCTCTCTTACTGCCTAACTATCTTTGTTTTGCTAAAAAGCTAGTCAGTCATTAATGAAATCTTTCAGTTCTGCTAATCCTAGGCACAATGCTGCTTTTCTTTACCAAGCTATTTTCCAATATAAAACTACAGTTACACACAGTTCAGCTCTGCCTTTAAGATTCCTTGTCATTTCCTTTTCATTACATACCTGATGTAGCACAGTGGCAGTCGAACACTGCCAGAGCCAAGCACAGAATTGCCTCCACTTCCAGTCCTTCGCTTCTGGCCATGTCACCAACAATCTCTCCCCACTGAAAAAAGAACATATTAACATACAAAATGTAGTCTTTTTTGTCCGTATCATCATTCTCCTCCTCCTCCTCCTCCTCCTCCTCCTCCATATTCTATTTTTTTCAAGAGCAACTCTTGTCTCTGACATATCATCCGTGAAAAGGATTTATCTCTGCTTTATTTATCAATTTGTATACTGCCTGAATCATCAAAGTAACTCTAGAGCAGTGTTTTTCAACCTTGGCCACTTTAAGATGGGTGGACTTCAACTCCCAGCATGCTGGCTGGGGAATTCTGGGAGTTGAAAAGTGGCCAAGGTTGAAAAACACTGCTCTAGACTATCTAAGCTAAACAGTCATCATCACCCTTACATTGAACTGTGTTGTTTGCAGCTTCGATTCTAGTGGTTGAACAGATATAAAAGGATAAAATTGAGACAATTCCTTCTTAAAAAGTCTACTTTTCATAGAGTGTATGCATCAGCCTGCCCCAGCTTGAATAACTTCTGGATGGGTGAACTAGAACTCCCAGCTAAACCAAAATGTCCGATCATGATTATCAGCAAACATTTGTTATCTCAGGGATGGCCTTCCCAGCATGACTTCACACAACCCTTTTCACCAGAGATTGAATGTAAGGGCTTTGGGTATGCCAGACATGGGCTTGAACACTGCATTATGGCTTCTCCTTGAGTTCTTCTCCTTTTTTCAATGGCCCTACGTGAGCTGGGCTACCAGGCCCAGTCTACAGCCTCTTACCAGTCCACCAGGAAGTACCCACCTCTTATTTGCCCTGGGGTGGGGGTGGGGGTGGGGAGGCACAGGGGAGAGAGTATAAGATTTCTTCTTCCAATAGCATTTTGATTAATTATTTTCAGTTATGAAATGTAACTTTACATTAATACACACACACACACACAGCCTCTTAATCTGCTAATCCTTTCTCCCGACAAACAGGTTCTTTTTAAATCAACGGCTATTCTATCAACCCAGTGGAGCAGAGATCCGGATTCAACGCAACAATGCATTCTTTTCACAAGAGGCTGCTTGGGCTAATATGATACCATAAAGAAGCCGAGGAGCTACACACACACAAGCACACACACTCCCTCCCTCCAGCTGGTTGGATTAAACATGTAATAATTGGAGGCTCATTTTTGTTCTGAAGTATTGGAATAGTTGTTTAGTGAATCACTCTTGTTTGAACTTATCAGAGCAAGAATATATCAAGGCTGAAGGTTTAGACAATTTGCATTCCTCCTCTCTAGTAAATTCAGGGACTTTCATTTTCTTTTCCCTCAAGTATGCAATTCAATATTACAGTTCCAACTGGCCAGGAAGTCAGAAAAGGAACATATCCAACTAAATATCTGAGATATTTCCCTTCATTCTCTGGTATCACTAACTCCCACCCACAGAGTTAATGAGGATTTTTGAGGTTACATTTCAACCAGTCCTTCTTCCCTGGCCATACATTCCCTCATTTTCTTATCATCTCCTTGCCCTTTAACGAATGACATCACATACGGAAACCTGCATTTATTTTAGTGGTGTGCAGACTTTCCCAATCAGAACATGCTATGAGCTCATGAAGATGTAAGCCAACGTGATGACTCAGATACAAGTTCTCCATTATTTTGAGACTTCAAAATCTCTTTGAATATTTATACACGCTTATCATAAAGTGCATTTTGGATGTTCTGCCTTTTTAATATTCTCCATCCTGACGCCAAACTGAAACTTTGTCCTTCCCAAAGAAAGATTTGAAATGGCTTATCCCATTAGTTTCTAGGCATCTTTTCTCCATATCTAATGTAAAACTAGATCGCCAGGCTTTTGAACATTTTGACTGACCTTCTCTGAACATCTTAGTTTGTCAGTGGCACTGTTTTCACGAGTTCTTTCTCCATCTCTCATACATAGGAGAGAATACCTTTTTAAAAAGGATGGTTGAGGTATCATCCATGCATTCTTGGAAGGTGCTTTTCTGCAAAAATATTGCTTCTCACGCACCTCTAATGATTGAATTGGTCAGTGAAACTTTTGAAACCTTAATGAATGGAGTCAAGATAAATCTATTTGCTAAATCTCCCCAGGTGAATTGATTAGTATTTCTTTAATCAGCTTGCAGCAATGTTCTGCAGTTAAGTCCCAGGCTTCCAGGGGGACACTGGGGATACTTGTTGAACAGAAACTTCTTCTGTATCAGAGGGCAAGAAAATGCTTGACATAGAGGGAAGTCACAGAAATTAGTATTAATCAATTAATTAATTAATTAATCAATCAATCTTGTATGCCACCTGACTCTCAACAACTTCTAGGTGATACTTGAGATATGATATGGAAGGCTTCAAATAAAAACAATTAAGCCTTCCTGGGGGACATGTCAAGAGGAACAGGGTCTTTTCAGTTGTATACCCCAATCCCATGAGTGAACTTAATTGAATGCATGTTGAGATTATAGATTTCAAACTAAGGTGCATAAGCAGAACTCCCAGCCTGTGGCTCTGAAAAATTCTCTGGGAATTTTTTTCTGAATCATATTTAAAGTGACAGAGAAATTATGAAAGATATGGGGAGCAAGCACTGCGTTTTTAGTTAAATTTACTTGCTTTGGTGGGTGTGTATATGTGTATGTGTGTGAGAGAGAGAAAGTGAGAGAGAGAGAAGGAAGGAGGGAGGGAGGGAGGGAAAGCAAGAAAGGAGTTTCATTCAATTTTTAGTTGTTTACATGCAAATTAAATAAATATTTTTGGTTGTGCTCATGTCCATCTTTTTAACTGTAACCCTTAGACCTTCAAATGCTATGCCCATGCTAGGCTTGGCAAAAAATCCATTAAAATTTCTCTTTTTAAATAAACTTTTGCCAGTGCTTTTCTTTAAGAATTTTTATCATAAGCCTCCTTCTGGGCCTGATAAAGTATTCCACAAACACAGTGCTGATGATCTTGTAGAAGCCCTCCACAGCAACAAAAAGTAATGAATGAACCGTGATAATACCACTGAAGTATCAGTTCTTGTTAGTCTGTGGGGAAAAAAACCAAAAAAAAAAAAACCCAAAATGACAACATCCAGCAATGGTTGTCTGGTTGTCATCTCTTTGAGGGATCTCAGAAACCAATCGCTCCTTACTAAAAATTGCCATCACTGTGGAAGAGTACTAGGCCTAAGGGAAAATTTGCTGGGACACACAAACAGCAGCTAAGTGACCTAAGAAATACTGAGAAATGCCTGAGATGGTGGAAGAACACAGTCCTTGTTCTGTATTGTAGCATGTGGGTGCTGCGGGACTTCATGTGAGAACGCAACAATGTCTGGGTGGGCATAACAGTGCGGAGGACAGACGGTGGAAGGAAATGCAGACGCATTGCTGGCATGGTTGGGAAAACACAATAATAATATGATGGGGCAGATGCTGGAATGAAAGGAGATTAAACTAACAGAGCATTTTGTTCTGCTTCTGCTGATTGGTCTCTCGCTGTTTCCTCTTTGTCATCAGTCACTGCTAATAGTCCCATACTTTAATGAGAAATACAGAATGTTTGCAAGCAGAAAACAGCGGTGGGATGCTGAGTCATTTTCCAGTGGAATGTGCTGTGTCCCAAAAGAGAAGCCAATCCCAGCTCTCTGGAGGTGGCTCGAACTCTGCACACTTTCTCCCTTCCCCACCTCTGTTGTTTGGTTTCATAAAGTTGGAAGGGCCATTTTGGCCCTCAGGGCCAACCCGCTGCTCCGTGCAGGAAACCAAATGAAAATTGCCCCAATCAGTGTCAATCGTGCCTCTGTCTGATCATGCACAACAAAGAGGAGACCACCATCTCCTTGGGTAATTGGCAACATGATCAATCTGTTCTTGAGTTCAGCTAGTTTTTCCATGGGAATCTTCTGATCTTCTGGCGCCTTAAATCCTTATTCCATGGCCTGTACTCTGGAAGTAAAGGCCACAAGTCTTAGCCATCTTCGGTGTAACAGACTGACTGATATATGAAGGTACAGTGGTACCTCAGGTTACGAACGCCTCTGTTAACGAACTTTTCAGGTTACAACCAGCTCTGGCCACAGAAATTTACCTTGGGTTGCAACCAACTTGGGTTGCAACCAGTGTCACAGAACGGATTAAGTTCGTAACCCGAGGTACCACTGTATATGTCTTCCCTTCAGTTTTCTCTTTTCAAGATTAAGCAGTTTTCCCTCACAGGATTAAGTTTCTAGTGCCTGATCATTCTCTCTGTGTTTCTTGGTCCCTGTTCAAGTATTGCTGGGTGTTTATTCAAATGCAGCACCTAAAAGTGAGCATGTTATTTAGAGTGGGATCTGATAATGCAGACTAGGGAGAAGATTTGGAAACAGTTCTTCAGCTGTTCTTTTTTCTTTTTTTCCCATCACTTCAGATATGGATGCAGAAAAGAGATGCCACAAAGTGGCTGTGTTTGGACAACACATTTAACTTGGCTAATGAGTTAACTCATTTTCTAGGTTTGCAACATACACTGAATCCTAGACTAATTAAGTAGGCTGGCTTTGCACAACATGCCGTGAAGGGAGGGAAACACTAATCAAGATTGAAACAAACCAAACTTAATATATGACGAAAATTCAGCTACAAGTCTTTAACAGGACTAGTTAAGCGCATTTGCACAACCAGCCAGGAGCTGAGATCCCAGTAACTGATATCAAAACCCTTGTTTGCATAAAGGTGAACCATAAGCTAAAGAGAGGAGCCCTCCAGTTGTGTTGGGACTACAAGCTCTGTAATCCCCAGTCACTCTGAGGATAATGACCACGAACTACAAAGGTTGAAGGAAAGCCGTGATGCTTGAAAGCAGCAATGAACAGGAACTCCTGCAGATGAGAAGACATCCTACATTCCACTATGATGCATTAACCTAGCCATGATGAGGTATATCTAGTGAGTATACCAGTGGGTGCTTGATTTTTTTTCCATTGTAGAGCTCCACTGAATATTTTTTCCTGCATTCCTTTTATTTCTATTAGGTGGAGAAAAAAAATAATTTAACAATGTTTTTCAATGTACTCATATTAATGAGGAAGAGAGTTCGAAGTGTCTGCAGCAACCTTTCTTCTGTAGACTATTGTCTCCTCGGCTTCTTATCCCAAGAAAAAGATGTCTTAAAGGTATGTATTCTTCTTTTCAGATCAAGAAAGAGAGGATAAACATGGAGGTTCCAAAGCCATGGAGAAATGGGTGGCAGGGGAAAAAAATAGGTTCAGCAATCAATAATGTTCAAACAGCAATCATTCAATCACATCTTTATTGTGGTTGCAGACCAGCGTAAATATTCAAAAATGCCTCCAAAACATTTCAGAACCACTCTGAGAATGAGTAAGAAGAAGAAGAAGAAAAAAAGGCCTCTTTTCTCAAGAGGAAGAAAATGTCCAGGTAATTGGAGGAGAATTTGTCCCAGTATTAGGACATTTTTTGCCTGTTTCATTCAGTAGCTGCTAAGAGAAGATTATAGCACTGAATCGTCTACATGCGTTCAGGGTTTTGTGGGGTTTTTTCCTTTTGTGGGGGGGGGATATTTCTTTCCATTGACCCAAAAGAAATTTCAGTACACTTGAATCTGACCTCTATTATGTTGTCCAGTAAAATGACATGATTATCTCCGTTTCTCCATTCTCTCTCTCTCTCTCTCTCTCTCTCTCTCTCTCTCTCTTTCTTTCTTT